CTGTTAAGATAATATCATCGACATATAAAAGTAAAGCTAGAACATCTGATCCAGTGTGTTTAACAAACAAACTCGGATTTGATTGAGACATTTTGAAACCAAGGGCTGGAAGGTATCCTGTGAACTTAGCATTCCATGCTCTTGGTGCTTGTTTTAACCCATACAGAGATTTCCTTAATTTACAAACAGATTGAGGCTGCTTAGGATCTTCAAACCCTTGAGGTTGTTTCAATACACTTCCTCATCCAAATCTCCATGAACAAAGGCATTTTTAATGTCTAATTGCCTTAACTTCCACCCATGCATGGCTGCCAAGCTAAAAATAATTTGGACAGTAGAGTGGCGCACTACTGGACTAAAAGTTTCTGAGTAGTCAAATCCAGGCTCTTGGCCAAAACCTTGAGCCACCAACCTTGCTTTGTACCTGGCTACAGTGCCATCTGAATTTCTCTTTATCTTATAGATCCACTTACTACCTACCACATTCTTATTCACTGAAGGAGGCACCAATTCCCAAGTTCCTTGCATATGAAGAGCATCGATTTCATCTTGCATGGCCTTAGTCCATTCTGAGGAATAAGAAGCGACTCTATAACTAGTAGGCTCCTCTAAAGCATCCGGCAAACTAGTGCTATAACAATGATAGTCGGAAAAAGGTGTTGGTGTGTGTATCCCGGATTTAGATCTAGTCTGTATAGGATGAGAGTTTGTTGCAAGTAAAGGTGTAGAGGAAGAAGATTCTGAATTTATACTTAGAGAGGCAGGCCTTGAACTTGGTGGTAATAACACCTTTAACTGATGGGGGGTGTACTTTCGAGGGTGTAAAGCCACTTTTACATCCCCTTTAGACATCTTGGGATTGTAAATGTAGTTTTTGCTTCAATGAGAAAGATGTAAATCTAAAGATGTATAATTCATTTTTGGACAAATTACAGTAAACCCCCCAACCTATAGGGTCATTTACAAGTTCATACCCGATTTTGGGGACGTTTACCAGTACATACTTAACGTCGCGGAAACCATACAATTTGCCCCCTCCATTAGCCAAACTGTTAGTGAATCTATTAAATGCTGACGTGTCAAAAGTGGGACATGGACAAAAAATTAATAAAAAATTATGTACATGTTAAAAATAAATTTTAAATGATATTAAAATTATTTAAAAAAGAAAAAAAAAATCTCTTTTGTTGATGCTCTTTTTCGGAGAGGGTCAACTTAGAGAAAAAGGGATTTGCCTTCAGCAGGGAAAGGGTCTGGGCCTTCAATAAAGGCTAGCCTGCAAAGTGGGAGGTTGGTGTAGATTTCCGATGTGGGACTTTGTGCAAGTCGCCGTGGTGGTGACACGTGTCATGAGAATTAGGTTTAGCAGTTTGTGAGCTTCAGCAATCGAGAGTTTCGGCAGGTGCTTGGCATCTCGGAAGAGTGTATTCCTTCGGCATAGGAGAAGGCGTGTCTGCCTTGGTGCTAGTTGTTTTGAGGCTGGATATGCTCGGTTGATTATGGTGTAAACAGTAGTCCCCCAAGTTCGCGGTCAAGAAGTGACTTCTGGGTTGGGAACTTGTGAGCTTTTGAATAATCATGACCGAGCATTCCAGTTTCAGTGGGAGCCGTAGGGCATTCCCTAGTCCCCCAAGTTGGCAAGTTAGAAGTTGCGTTAACATTTGGGAGGTATGATAAAAGCTGTGTGTAGGGGGTTTTTTGTTCCAGCAGCCTGACGAATGGGCCTGGGCTGCTGTGAGAAGGCAACGAGCAAAAATCCCCCAAATGCCTGAGTTCGAAAAACAAGCTCCCAAGAGAGTTTTTAGAAAATCTAATGAGATTTTAAAAGAACACTCTCAGGATCACTTCACTAACACCCAAATAAGCATGAGGATTTCATTAATGGCTTAGCTTGAGGAGCATGTGGCATGGGAGCTAAGCTTTCACAAGTTTAGCAATTTGAGAGAGAGAAGACAGCGTGGGTTTCTTACGGAGGAAATATCAGTGCGAGCCCTATCCTAAGAAGAAGAAAGATGAACAGAAGAAAGGCTTGGGTGGCTTGAGGAAATTCCAGATTTGCTTGACAAAGCTTGGTCAAGGTCTGGATCGTTGAGTTGTGTATGATTTTTCTGGGTAGTCAAAGTCTCCTTTTATAGGCGTTAGGAGCTCCAATTT